TTTTCTATGGGGTTAAGGTCAGGAGAGTTTGCTGGCCAATTAAGAACAGGGATACCATGGTCCTTCAACCAGGTACTGGTAGCTTTGGCACTGTGTGCAGGTGCCAAGTCCTGTTGGAAAATGAAATCTGCATCTCCAAAAAGTTGGTCAGCTGCAGGAAGCATGAAGTGCTCTAAAACTTCCTGGTATGTGGCTGCGTTGACCCTGGACCTCAGAAAACACAATGGACCAACACCAGCAGATGACATGGCACCCCAAACCATCACTGACTGTGGAAACTTTACACTGGACTTCAAGCAACGTGGATGAAGTGCCTCTCTTCTTTTCCTCCAGACTCTGGGACCTTGATTTCCAAAGGAAATGCAAAATTTACTTTCATCAGAGAACATGACTTTGGACCACTCACCAGCAGTCCAGTCCTGTTTCTCTTTAGCCCAGGCAAGACGCTTCTGACGCTGTCTGTGGTTCAAGAGTGGCTTGACACAAGGAATGCGACAGCAGAAACCCATGTCTTTCATACGTCTGTGTGTGGTGGTTCTTGAAGCACTCACTCCAGCTGCAGTCCACTCTTTGTGAATCTCCCCCACATTTTTGAATGGGTTTTGTTTCACAATCCTCTCCAGGGTGCGGTTATCTCTCTTGCTTGTACACTTTTTTCGACCACATCTTTTCCTTCCCTTCGCCTCTCTATTAATGTGCTTGGACACTGAGCTCTGTGAACAGCCAGCCTCTTTAGCGATGACCTTTTGTGTCTTGCCCTCCTTGTGCAAGGTGTCGATGGTCGTCTTTTGGACAACTGTCAAGTCAGCAGTCTTCCCCATGATTGTGTAGCCTATAGAACTAGACTGAAAGACCATTTAAAGGCTTTTGCAGGTGGTTTGAGTTAATTAGCTGATTAGAGTGTGGCACCAGGGGCCATCAATTTTGAACCTTTTCACAATATTCTAATTTTCTGATATGATGAATTTGAGATTTTCATTTGTTGTCATTTGTAATCATCAAAATTAAACAAAATAAACATCTGAAATATATGAGTTTGTATGTAATGTATGAATATAATATACAAGTTTCACTTTTTAAATGGAATTACTGAAATCAATCAACTTTTTCATGATATTCTAATTTTATGACCAGCACCTGTACTGGAGGTGGGTTGTAACGGTTTCATCTGAATAAAGTCACAGCGCATCCGCCGCCTGCGCACAGGAGCAGACAGGTGCATATTGGAGGCCTTTTAAGATGAAGTTTGGATGCCGATTGGCTCGATGGAGGTGTTGCTCAAAGCTGTATTGGCTGTGGATGTATGAAAGCAATGAGTTTCTTCAGTTGAACTTCCACCTAGGCTCCATGTTTTACAGTCTCTACACTTTCTCTACACAATAAATCGAATACTAAATTAGCTGAAGATAATTTCAATAATCAATTAATTGCGATTATTTTTTTTTTCTACCAGAAAAAAGACAATAAATCAGAGTTTGTTAGTTTTATAAGTAAGCAGTGTTGCGTAATAACGGTTGTATTTTTTAGTTTTTTTGTTTCTCTAATTACTTCTTTCTCATCAGTAACACCATTGTCACAATATACCATAGCACAATTCTACAGCTAGATCTTTTAAAGAGAAATTTCAAAAGTGCACAGTTTCTGCTGTGGGAGAGGAGTGCAGTGGTGAATAGAAAGAGGTATATACGACTCAGGGCAACAGCAAAGTCAATGATAGCACTCCTAAAAGCAAGTCAAAAACCTTGCATGGTATATTTGTAATTGATTAAACATGTTAGAATTATTTTCAATGATGATGTAAAAGTCTGTTAAACCCTAATAATACCTGCCTGTAGCGTGTCAGAACTCATGTTTTCCAAAGTAGTTTATCTAATTAGGAAAGTTCGCCTGTCAGGATATGCACTTATCATTTATATTATGTACATAACAGAGATTTGGCAATAAAATTGGTTCACAGACAGAGTCGCTCTTTCTTAACAACGAGTTCTCTGTGCTTTTATCTGGGACACTGAGTAATAAGTTGATATGGCTGGAGCCATGGATGTCTTCGCTATTACAAACTTGTATGATGTAACGATGTGATGATGTGGCAAACCAGGTGTATAAAATGCTTCTAAAACTGTGATTAAGGGCAGACTTTCTCAAGATGCGAGCCAGCTTGGTAAGCGTTGCCTTTTGTAACCCTAAGCAAATTCTCTGATCTGTCAAAATGTTGTGATGTCTCATGGTTATTTAATATGTATGCATTATGTAGTGTTATTTAAACAGTTTGTCCAGAGTGATCTCTTCTCTGGAGAGAATCGGAGAGAGAAAGCTTCAAGGTGAAAACACAGGGTTTTACTTTACAAACACAAATACTGTAATTAGGTTATTCCCTTTTTCATATTTTTACCAAAGCCTGTTTGTTATATTACTTGTAAATCATAAGTTTTTAGTGCCCCTGTGCATTAATATCAAGTTCCAAAACATTTTACTTATTTGATTGTCAAACTACATAAATATACTACACTTAAAATGTCATGCCCCACTTGTGCCACCACCAAACACACTTAGATGGTGTAGAACAGTTTTCAGACATTTAGTCAGTTTAATGAATTACTAAATACATTTCTATGAAACATTTTATATTTCAAAATGAAACCCACAAATGGATTCAAAGCACCAGTAAAAGGAATTTTCCCCATATTCAGTGATATTTTAGATAATAAAACATCGCTACTTTACCTGGGTTCTTTGATAACCTAGTAACTAAGTTGGTAAATCGGTTACTACCTGAGTTACTGAGTATTGTGCAGGTTGCTAAGTAAAGAAAGATGAGTAGCACAGTTTAGTTAAAGATTAGCTGGGAAGCAGCTAAAGGAAGTTGTTGCCTAGGATACTGAGGCTTCCTAAGTATTTTTGCCACTTTATGGCTAGATAACGTTTGGCAGGCTAATACATTTTTTAGTCAACATTGTTAAACATCAAATGTTGTCCTCTGATTTAGAAACCCTTGAAATTCTCATGTACTATTTTCCAAGAACAAGGAGGCAAAGGGGCTAAACTGTATCACTAGGTTTAAAAGGATAACTTCACTAAGACGTTAATAAAGAGGATCAATTGTTTATAGGGGTCAAATCCTTGGTAAATTTTCAGTAAATTTCTTACTTATTGGTCCTTTCAAAAGGCAGGACAGATGATACTGCCACATGTGGCCAAAGCACTTAACTGCAGCTCTATTATGCTTGTTCTCGTAGCTTATACTTGACAAGTTTCTTTTTTTACTTTTTACCAACACCAGTTGTAACAGTTGACATAGGTGTTTGTGTTGAGCTGAATATTTGCTTCTGAGTATCCACAAATTTATGTTTAATAAAACGCTTTGATTGTTTGCTAAATTAGTTTAATCTTATGTGCCCTCTTTTGACGTTATATCTGTAGAAACAGCATGGGAACTTTTGACCCATAGTACATATAAGAAAAATAGACTACTGTGTTATCAAATAAAAAGGCTATTTTACAGATAGTTTTAAGTAAAAACTTACAAAATGTATCTTTAAGGAAGAAATAACAATAATAGAAGAGCACAGCAAAGACGGGTAATTAGAAAGTTCAACTGCAGGACTTCGGTTTCCCTAGTTTTTGCATTTCTGCTAACCTGAAAAAAAAAAACATCATCATAGTGTTTTATCACATTCTTTAACAGCATTAATTCAATACGTCCTTGTTTCACTTTGTGCAAAGGCCTAACAAAAAGGAAACAAAACATGGAAGCCGTGTGAGAAGTTCACATGGCATCGTTATTAAGGCCTTAATGTAGTAATCATTCACACAGGCCTTGCATATACACACAATGTGGGCCTTTCTTGCTTGTGTGCAGATGGCATCATAAAAAAAGTGTTCTTTGCTGCAAACATTGAGAGCTAACACACAAACAGTGGTGACCCCCTGCTCCCCAATCCATCTTTCCCCCTGTTGGGTGTTTATTGTTTCAGAAAGATCAAGGTTTTTGCTGTGAAGTGATGGTTTCATGCTATTATGCACGCTAATTCTGGGAGACTGTTGAGATGTAAATGACTCCTAGTTCATCAGGCTTTTGTTTTGGTGACATGGCTGGGCATCAAGGTCCTAAAAAGGCTTTAACATACAGTAATTTACTGTTTCACATTGATTTCTGTCAGCCTTTCACAGGACCTATAAACTGAAGGTCCCACTTAATGTGATGCTTTTTTTGTGTGTTCCAGTAAGCAGAATCTGGTAATTAATCAGTGTTTGGGTGATTACACAATACAGTATCAGGCAGTCAGCTTCCTTTGCTTAAAGGCAAATTGGCTAACCTTTTGGAATGGCTACTGCTGGACCTAGTATCTACTCCAAGACCAGTGGGTATCTTGTGTATTGCCCTTCAGTTACACAGATGTCCCATTTTCTGTATGCAAGGACGTTTTCCTGAGGCCTAATCCCTGGATGCTGGCATGGCTATAGCAAATATATTTCCACACTGGAACTTTTTGGAGCACTTTAACATGCAGCTGTGCCTCAACATCTGTCAAATCTCATCATCTGTAGCAAAAACAAGGTTGAAGAATTAGTCATGATGAAGCCATGCTGAAGCAGTCTGGTTCAAAAACACATATTTGTGCATATTCACTCACATGTTGCAGAGCGCAGACTATAGTATTTAAAAAGTAGCTGTGTTGTAACGAGTATGGAAGAAAATAACCAAAGAAGCTTAATTGGCCTGTGTTCACACTTGAAGCCTATTATATTTAAATTCTTGTCTAAAAAAGGGGCATAAAAGGAAAGAAAGAGAGAAAGTAAGTACTGGACATCCAACTGTATAGAAAAATGTTGCAAAAGAGAGATGATAGAATCAAACACTGTCTAAAATGTGACCTAATATAGTACGATTAGGATGTACTTGACCATTTTGGCGGTCAAGGTTGGGTACAATTGCTTGACATACAATTTTGACCAGAAAAGGAGCCATTCGTCACAACGCCTTTGGCTATTATACTACGTGCCGCTTTTTCCGCATTCTGGCCAGGTCCAAGAGGGGCGTGTAGAGCAGAAACGGCAATCGTACAACACCACACTACAGGAGGAAATAGAAAACACAGCCATTTACAACTTCTTTAAAGCCTCTTTTTGCTGTCTTTGAGCAAAAGTCAATTTTTGCAAGAGTTTTTCCACAATCTGTTGATAATATGGGTACGATCACAGGATGCCTGTAGATTATATATTTGCGAGCCATTGCTGGTAAGAGCTGTTGTTTATTCAACATATTTTCTATGTGTGGATCTATCATTTCCTAGGTGTGTGCAGTAGAAATTCTGTCAGCACAGATTCCATGGAGAGGGGTAAAAGCCAACAATTTGGCTGCTGGACCTCGTGGACATGTCAAGCATAAAACAAGTTTAAGAAAGTCAGCTCAATTGTCTGAGAAATGAAGCTTAAGTGTAAATTCAAACACTCATCAGCTTCACCTGAACCAACTGTGGTGTCCCTTGTTCAGCTCCAGAAGTTGTAGCTCCTGGTCCAACTTCTGTCTCTCGCACACAAGCAAACTTTCACCTATATCCACCCTGTCGCCTCCCTTATTACCAGACTTAGGCCCACTCACCCTCTGACTTATTCCACCACCATTCTCCAGGCCCTGACGAGTAGACTACTCTAATTCTTTTCTAGGTTACTCATCCAGGCGCACAGTGATTCACAGCATCAAAATCTTTTGACTGGCCCCGAGTGCCAAGGAACTTTTGTGTATTTCTTTATCTGCTTCTGTCTCCTTGAACCCCAGAGCCTCGACAGATGGCTGCTTACACTGAGCCTGGTTCTGCTGGAGGTTTCTTCCTGTTAAAAGGGAATTTTCCTCTCCACTGTCACTCCATGCATGCTCAGTGCAAGGGATTGTGCAGAGTCAATGAGTCGATCAGCTGGTTGTCCTTAGATAGAAATATTTTAAAGAATATGATTGTTTTACCTTCATTAATAAATTTAATATTTTGTGAGTCTCTCCAGGTTAAAATTACCTTTCCCCCAATATATGTTTGCAAAAGTACTGTACAATATGTATCCACATTCTTAGGTCTGTGGTTTTTAACTGTTACATGGTGCTTGTCCTCAGACAGGAATTTCCTGACTCATGGAGAGAAGTTACATTATTTTGGAGAGTAGAATTTAAGCTGAGCCAAAAGAAAAAAGCTGTTAATGTACTAGCCTTTTTTCCCCCACCATTACACTGCAAAAAATATAAATCTCAATAAGTTATTTTTTCTTAAAATAAGTGTGTTTTTCCTTGATTTGAGGAGATAAGTAAGACACTTTGCCAATGGAACAAGACAATTTCCTTTTAAAATAAGAAAAAACTATTTTATCGTCTTATTTCAAGTAAATATTATCTAACTATCTTATTTTAAGAGTGAAAATACTCATTCCATTGGCAAATCATCTTATTTACCTGCTCAAATTAAGGCTAAATATACTTAATTTAAGCCATTTTTTTACTTATTTCTGGATTGTTTTTGCAGTGTAGCTACTTTTAAAAAATCTGTATCATGACTGAAAGATTGGGTTCTCAAATAAAAGAATAATGCATCCTCTGCGGCAAAGAACTACAGTACTTACTTAAAGAAAGATAAGGGGAGGAGCTTGGTCATCCTTGAGGAAAGTAGCTGCATGCGCAACCAGATACTGTATATACGTACATCCATAAATAATATAATTATGGTTCTAAAATTTCTTATTTGTATCCTTAACTCACTAAAGAATGCTAATACACATCTTTAGAAAATGTTTTATGACTTGGTGCTTTATGAGACTTTATGAGATGGTGCTTCCGGAACGGATTGTGTAGTGACTGCGACAAAATCTCATAATGCATTCCAGGATATATCTGCTTGTCAAGTGACCATAGATGATCACTACTTTTCAAGGTGCATTGTGGGAAATTTTGAGTCCACTAACTTTTCATCCACTTGATGTTTGGAGACTTATTTTAAATGGCGTAACCTCTATATAGTGCCCTACATAGTGATTAAGGCGAACATTGGGACACAGCCCTGGATGTCGGCCATGATTTCTTTGTTGGGCACCAATACTAGTGGAAAAATATGTAAATATGCATTCAACTTGTTGAAATATGTTGGTGCATTCAAATTGAAATGGTAGACAGTTACTTTTTTAACAAGATAGTGTATTTCTGAAATGGGTTGTACCTATTAACCACATGTGCATTGTTGGGCAGCCATTTCCTGCATGAAGCTGTATACTCCCTTTTGATTAAACTAAGGCATTACCCTGCAATGTGTTGATAAGGTTATGTGTCGGTTCTTCTTGTGCTAAATGCATGTTTGGTAATTTTACTTTTTGTTTGGCCTGTGCAGCCAAAGGCCACTGCCTTAATTTTTATTTTATATCCCTTCATTTTATCTACATTTTTTTTACTTTCTTGTTGCGTCCCTCCAAAGATTTGTGACATAGCGCTGATTGTGTGCGCCAGTCTTGTTCCAAATGGGAGGATATAAAGTTTTCCTTTATGAATGAGTTTGTCTGTACTGACATTAAATGGTGCAGAAGATGGAACAGCGTGGTTAAATGCAGAGCTGTTACTGTTTATTCAGTGACTAAAAACACACGGATCTCTAATTTATCTCTATGAATAAATAGAGATCAGTGTGAAAACAGCATACAGGGGTGAGTTTATTGGCCAAGCCTGAGGTACAAACAAAGATTTTGGTTTCTTTTTCCATTACATACAGCATAAATAAAGTCTGAAAAAACTACCATAGTATACAATGCTTGCAACTTTTATTTAGTAAAACATTGTTTTATATCCGTTATTAAAAAGCAAAGCATTCTGTATGGGCTTCGCGGGAGGGCTTGTTTCCCAAAAGTTTCTGTGCGCAGCAGGTAAACCTGTCATTTTATTCCCCCATATATTTCTGCATCGTGCCAAAAACACACCTACTATTCTTAAATAATCAATAATTTTGCCAGTGGTATGTTAACCGTTTCTTCTTTTTTTTCTGTATTTCTGCTTTTTATGTTGATCACTGCTGCCGTGTGGCTTTTGTGAGTACTGCAACTATATTTACATCAACTATAAACGTGTACACTGCAAAAACAGTCTAGAAATAAGTACAAATTTTGTTACATTTAGCCTTATTACCCTTAATCTGAGTAAGTAAATAAGGTGAGTTGCCAATGGAATAAGTATTTTTACTCTTAAAATAACATAATTAGATAATATGCACTTGAAATAAGACAATGCAATTTTATTTTCTTATTTCAAATGTAAATTGTCTTGTTCCATTAGCAAAGTGTCTCACTTGCCTCCTCAATTTAAGACTAAATGCACTTATTTTGAGAAAAAATTACTTATTGAGATTTACATTTTTTGCAGTGTTCTCTGTCAGCAATTATTGTCTCCTGTGAGTCAAATTTTTTCCTGGGCTCACACTTATTTAATAAATCTGGATGTGTTAAAATATTTTTTTTACAGCGATCTTCTATGTCATTAAAACACCTTGTAGTTCCCAATGAAAGTCTAGTCTACTCAGGATACACCAACTAAACCTTTTACTACCAAGGAAACCATCTTTGGGGGAGAGTTAAAGAATTTCCAAATAGATTTGAGTCTTGTCTTATATCTACAATTAATTGTGAAAATGCTTTTGGTAATCATGTTCCTATACACCCTATGCAAGATTTAAGGCTCTGCTAAGGATGTTCATGCAAGAAATGTTCAGTCTTATAATTTGAGGAATTTTAAGGGTTAATTTGAAAAACAAGAACTTTGCAAAAAAATAAAATAAATAAAAGGAAGAGCAGTCAGAAGAAAAAAAACTTTGGTTCATGCCTATCCAGACTTGGGTAGGACTGAAATGATTTTTCCATACTATTTTAAGACTTCACAGAGACCCGAGAACGTTTTAATCCTGTATAATTATAATTTAGGCCAGAGCATGAGATGAACTGAAACTACCAGCACTGATTTATGAAGTGTGAGTTGGTGTCTTTATAGGCGCTAATTGACTGGGTTTATGATCTCATGCTGCTTAAATTGACTTTGGAGAGCTTTGCTTATACACACCCACACACACAACCCTTTAACATAAACCTTCCAGTTTTTTATTTTTACAGTGACCTGCTTAGTTTTCCTTCTCTCTGTATTTTCCAGCAGTTCCCACGGAGATTTAAACAATTCGTTTACAAGGAAAACCATATAATTTCCTGTTAATTAAACTATTGCTTGTTTTCTTTAGGAATCCAGCCACTTCAGGCTTAGTACATATAGCAATATAAGTTTAAACTTCTAAATTTTGATCTAAACTGATTGTCTCTTGTTTAGATGCTGCTAACTGTCTGGATGAAATATATTGGTTTAATAATATAATTTAATTTTTTTTTTATTTTTTAAACATGCTGGAAAAGACATTTGGGAACTCGGGTGAAAGGCGAAAGACATACTAGAATTTCATCTTAGTTATGAAATTGTTATCTGATATATTTGATTCTCAGTACCACATTTTGAAAGTTTAATCACAATCAATCAGCTTGTAGATTTTCTTCCAGCTTCCATCATATTTGCTTTCTATTTCTGTTCTCTTCAAGAAAAGAGATTTTATTTTTCCCCTCACTGTAATGCGTTAGGTTAAGGATTCAGCATTGTGTTGACTTCTTTTGCGGTCCGTCAAAGTTTCATGAATGATTAAAAGCACTGGGCCTCGAGCTGCTCATAAATAAACAGCAGGACCGAACAGCCTTCTCACGGACAGAGAGAACTGACACACTGACTGTCAAATAATACCATTCAGAAGCTAATCCAGTGTATAGCATTTTTATGCAGTATATCCCTGATTGGAAATCATGCATATGTGCTTTGGGTTGGAGGGAGTGCGTGAAAGTAAATGAGGGAGCACGCATCAGGAGCGTGCTCTTTTTGCTACAAAAAAATTCCCTCTTTTCTTTAACCCGGAGACACTGAGGGAATAAAGATGAGTGTTTTCCCGAAACCAGGCAGCCATTTTCAGTGAGTAAAATGTCAACCACATGGACAGTTGATAGAAAACCAGAGCACAACGGCAAAATGCT